GAGAACATCTCCCTGGATCGTCGTTCTGATGTTGTGGAGACCACTAGCGGTCAATACTGAGTGTGTCGACCATGAGTGCACTTGTGAACCACTCTAACCCAGAGTGTGAGTGTTGTCAACACTCACGGTCTGCTGACACACTCATCATCATCATTTAACCGAGATCCGCTGAAGAGGAACCCAGAAAAGGATCGAAATATACCGATCAGTTAATCTTCTGAGTTTTTGTCTCCATGTGGGTTATTACTGAGCACTGACAAGTGTTTAATGAGCACTGACAAGTGTTTAATGAGCACTGACAAGTGTTTAATGAGCACTGACAAGTGTATAATGAGCACTGACAAGTGTTTAATGAGCACTGACAAGTGTTTAATGAGCACTGACAAGTGTTTAATGAGCACTGACAAGTGTTTAATGAGCACTGACAAGTGTATAATGAGCACTGACAAGTGTTTAATGAGCACTGACAAGTGTTTAATGAGCACTGACAAGTGTTTAATGAGCACTGACAAGTGTTTAATGAGCACTGACAAGTGTTTAATGAGCACTGACAAGTGTTTAATGAGCACTGACAAGTGTATAATGAGCACTGACAAGTGTATAAAGAGCACTGACAAGTGTATAATTATCATGTGGGAGTTCGAACACGTAGATTGGGTAAAATAATACTCACGTAGGCTGGTAGTACGTATAATTACAGATAATGTGGAGAGAGCCCTTACAGCCGTGACCTAGTCTCCTTGCTCCTCTCGTAACACTGACTGACTGGCCGCCCACAGTACCCATATGTGAGGGGGTCTTTGAATACTGCCAGGTCAGCACAATATGAGTTCAGACAGTGACTCAGGCAGAGACGGTTGGTCGTGAGTCAACTGGCACAGTGGTTACTGGTAACTGGTTACTACTACTGAGATAATGAGCACTGACAAATGTTTAATGGGCACTGACAAGTGTTTAATGAGCACTGACAAGTGTTTAATGAGCACTTACAAGTGTTTAATGAGCACTGACAAGTGTTTAATGAGCACTGACAAGTGTATAATGAGCACTGACAAGTGTTTAATGAGCACTGACAAGTGTTTAATGAGCACTGACAAGTGTATAATGAGCACTGACAAGTGTTTAATGAGCACTGACAAGTGTTTAATGAGCACTGACAAGTGTATAATGAGCACTGACAAGTGTATAATGAGCACTGACAAGTGTTTAATGAGCACTGACAAGTGTATAATGAGCACTGACAAGTGTTTAATGAGCACTGACAAGTGTTTAATGAGCACTGACAAGCGTTTAATGAGCACTGACAAGTGTATAATGAGCACTGACAAGTGTTTAATGAGCACTGACAAGTGTTTAATGAGCACTGACAAGTGTTTAATGAGCACTGACAAGTGTATAATGAGCACTGACAAGTGTTTAATGAGCACTGACAAGTGTATAATGAGCACTGACAAGTGTTTAATGAGCACTGACAAGTGTTTAATGAGCACTGACAAGTGTATAATGAGCACTGACAAGTGTATAATGAGCACTTACAAGTGTTTAATGAGCACTGACAAGTGTTTAATGAGCACTGACAAGTGTATAATGAGCACTGACAAGTGTTTAATGAGCACTGACAAGTGTTTAATGAGCACTGACAAGTGTATAATGAGCACTGACAAGTGTTTAATGAGCACTGACAAGTGTTTAATGAGCACTGACAAGTGTATAATGAGCACTGACAAGTGTATAATGAGCACTGACAAGTGTTTAATGAGCACTGACAAGTGTATAATGAGCACTGACAAGTGTTTAATGAGCACTGACAAGTGTTTAATGAGCACTGACAAGTGTATAATGAGCACTGACAAGTGTTTAATGAGCACTGACAAGTGTATAATGAGCACTTACAAGTGTTTAATGAGCACTTACAAGTGTTTAATGAGCACTGACAAGTGTTTAATGAGCACTGACAAGTGTATAATGAGCACTGACAAGTGTATAATGAGCACTTACAAGTGTTTAATGAGCACTTACAAGTGTTTAATGAGCACTGACAAGTGTTTAATGAGCACTGACAAGTGTATAATGAGCACTTACAAGTGTTTAATGAGCACTTACAAGTGTTTAATGAGCACTTACAAGTGTTTAATGAGCACTGACAAGTGTTTAATGAGCACTTACAAGTGTTTAATGAGCACTGACAAGTGTTTAATGAGCACTTACAAGTGTTTAATGAGCACTTACAAGTGTTTAATGAGCACTGACAAGTGTTTAATGAGCACTGACAAGTGTATAATGAGCACTGACAAGTGTTATAATGAGCACTTACAAGTGTTTAATGAGCACTTACAAGTGTTTAATGAGCACTGACAAGTGTTTAATGAGCACTGACAAGTGTTTACTGAGCACTGACAAGTGTTTAATGAGCACTGACAAGTGTATAATGAGCACTTACAAGTGTTTAATGAGCACTTACAAGTGTTTATGAGCACTGACAAGTGTTTAATGAGCACTGACAAGTGTATAATGAGCACTGACAAGGTATAATGAGCACTTACAAGTGTTTAATGAGCACTTACAAGTGTTTAATGAGCACTGACAAGTGTTTAATGAGCACTGACAAGTGTATAATGAGCACTTACAAGTGTTTAATGAGCACTTACAAGTGTTTAATGAGCACTTACAAGTGTTTAATGAGCACTGACAAGTGTTTAATGAGCACTTACAAGTGTTTAATGAGCACTGACAAGTGTTTAATGAGCACTTACAAGTGTTTAATGAGCACTTACAAGTGTTTAATGAGCACTGACAAGTGTTTAATGAGCACTGACAAGTGTATAATGAGCACTGACAAGTGTATAATGAGCACTTACAAGTGTTTAATGAGCACTGACAAGTGTTTAATGAGCACTGACAAGTGTTTAATGAGCACTTACAAGTGTTTAATGAGCACTGACAAGTGTTTAATGAGCACTTACAAGTGTTTAATGAGCACTTACAAGTGTTTAATGAGCACTGACAAGTGTTTAATGAGCACTGACAAGTGTTTAATGAGCACTGACAAGTGTTTATTTCACTTTAGTTATTCATTTAACTAAGAATTTAAAAACGGGAAAATTGTTTACAAAGGCATCTCTGAAATCGCTGGAGAGGTTCCATCGGTGCCAGATTCGTAAAAAAATGGAATAAATACAAAGGCTTTTGCTCAAGGTGAGGCTCCAGGCATTGTATATATATATATATAATATATATATATATATATATATATATATATATAATATATATATATATATGTTATATATATATATATATATATATATATATATATATATATATATATATATATATATATATATATATATATGTATGTATGTATTATGTATATTTATGTTTTAAAGTGCAGCCGGTGAGAATACGAGGCCGAATTCACCTCGCTCTTCGTAAAAGAAAAATCCAGTTTAGGGAATAAACTTAGTTAAGGTTGGTTTGAGCCATAAAGCCAGTTTGAAATTGTTTTCCTTCTCACTAACACGCCTCGTTTGTCCTCTTATCTGCCAGTCTCCTGTGTCTGCCTTTGTGTGTCTGTGTAACTTTGTGTGAATTTCTGTGTCTGTGTATGTCTGTGCTTGCCTATGTAAGTGCCAGTCTGTTAATGGTACAATCCTGCTCTCCTAGAGTACAAACAATGTATGCTGGGAGAGCTGGACTCCACGGTACTCAGTACCAAATACTGGAGCATTAAGAGGACGCAGCAGACATAGTGAAGATACAGTGCACCTCACTGCTGATGTGTTAAGATAGGTTCCTCAATACTGTATAGATTATTTGTACCTCATAGTGTCCCCAGGAAGGACAAGTACACAGGCAGCAGGAGAGTCACTGGGACACTTATCTCTGTAACACTGCTCCCACAACATGTATCCTCCTTCCGCTACATGTGTCACTGTTGTGATGCACGTATCTTTGTTCTTTTGTGCATGTCATTGTCTTCAATGTGTATATTAGTAGGCCTTCTCTCTCTCTCTCTCTCTCTCTCTCTCTCTCCTCTCTCTTCTCTCTCTCTCTCTCCTCTCTCTCTCTCTCTCTCTCTCTCTCTCTCTCTCTCTCTCTCCTCTCTCTCTCTCTCTCTCTCTCTCTCTCTCCTCTCTCTCTCTCTCTCTTCTCCTCTCTCTCTCTCTCTCTCTCTCTCTCTCTCTCTCCTCTCTCTCTCTCTCCCTCTCTGCATCGTCTGGAGAGTGTTTGTAGTGCTGAAGATAGTCATAGTTTCAATACCTCACCCACTTTATGCCAGCAGTAAATGAATATTTTCCTGCTTATCTAACTTCACCCGCCTTGAAAACATATTACTGACACAATAATATTTTAAACGAAAGAACAGAGGCTTTGAAGAGCGCCTTTACTGTCGTCTTATCAACAGTGACATTAGTGTTGTGTTATCAACAGTGAAATTAGTGGTGTGGTATCAAGACTGGTGTGGTATCAAAACTGGTGTGGTATCAAAACTGGTGTGGTGTTATGTCAGAGTTTTCTCAGTTTGGTTTATCATTCTTCCTGGTCAGGGTTACACTTGTCTTCTTGACACAAGTTATCATTTAACAACAGCATCTCAGGATCCTGTACCTGATCATTCCATGTCATTTCTTGATAAAAACAAATCTCCATTCTAAAAATATATTCCGGTACACAACTCCAAATACACAGACTGTGGTTATAAGTTAGTTAACCGATTTACAACCACCATAACTGCTGCTACCAAGATCACGACTTTGTAATGTTGCCACGCCTCCCAAACCTGACTTTGGTACCTTTATATACCCTCTGTAGTGTTGGTATTGTCTACATAATACTCTTGGTGAGTGGAATGTAGCTGTAATAAATGTTTCTTTAATAATAATAAGAATAATAATAATAGTAATAATAATAATAATAATAATAATAATAATAATAATAATAATAATAATAATAATAATAATAATAATAATGATAATAATAATAATAATAATAGTAATAATAATAATGTTATTTTGTGTTTTCCACAGTACCTCTGGACCTGCGCTACTATGACTGCGCTCAGATTGAGTTCGATTGAGTACCCAACTTATTTATTGTTATATTTAAGTAAAAGACACTTGCAATGGATACTCTAATGACAGTCATTTTGCCTCCACAGTGACTTTTATCAAGGTAATGGCTTGTATGTGGGACTAAACATTGTGGTTAATCTAGCCAGTGATGTGTCGCTTACTCCACAATGTTGGTAGCTGCGTAGCATGACATATCCATCGTGTGTTGAATGTTTTCTTTGGGTCTTGCAGATCGTGACGCTGTTGAGTGGTGGGGCGCCACCAGAGAGTGGGTGTCATCATGGAGGGTGTGGGCGTGTGGGCGTGGGTGCTGGTAGCCCTGGTGGCTACCCCCAGCTGGGCCACAGCTCAGGTGGGGCTACGGACGGCGCCTCTAACAGCCCCCAGACCAAGAGAGACAGTTGGCAGCGAGAGTCTCGGTCTCTTCTCCAAGTGGTCTGGTCTCGACCTGCACAAGAACCGCACAGGCAGCAGCATCGAGAACTCCCTGGCAGCCATCTTCAGGGGTGTCGCCTATGGTCTGTCTACCTTCCCCACCTCTAGTAGTACCACCACCCCTGCTCCCCCACCACACTCTGCATCCCACACCACCAGCCCTGCGGGCCAGGGTCATCCACCCCTGCAACCTGACTCGCCAGAGTGGTCAGACCTGGAGGGGCTCTTGTTTCAGACTACATTTGAAGATCTTCCACCTGAAGATTTTGAAAACCTGTATCCAGACACGACCAGTGAAGTGGAGGTTGTGCGGGCAGGTGGAGGTGTGGAGGTGGGCAAGACAGCATGGGTGCGGGAGCTTGGGGTAGCGTGGGTAGTGCACGTGTACTGCGCTGCGGGGATGTATAGCCTGCTGGCGGTGCTGGCGCTGCTCTGGCTCTCCAGAGTGCACGCCGCTAAACGCATCCTTCCACGCACACACTACGTCACTCTCCACCTTCTCATGTTCCTTTCCGCCTTCCTTCGTTGCGTCCACCTTTTCCACGACCCCTACGGCGCTGACAACAAGCTACCGGAGTCTCTGGCTACAGTAGCGGAGGAGATAGGTTGGCCGTGCCTGACAGCTGCCCTGGCGCTGGTGGTGATGGGCGTGGTGCAGGCGTGGAGAAGTCCTCCACACTTGCCGTCCCAGCACAACGCCCCTGTCGCTCTCGCAGTCATCACAGTCTTCCACCTGCTGGTGTCTATCTGCGCGCACCTCTTCTCCGTGGTGTTCCCGGAGCATGCTGGTCCACTGCGGGCTGCGGCGCGCACTGCTACAGCAGCGTGGGGCGGCGTCATCGGCGTCGGCAGCTTCCTGGCCATCTGTCGTGTTGCACAAGCTGCCAGGCATCGCCACGGTCATCTCACCGTGATGCTCAGCAGAGACGTGATGGACGGTACCACACAGCATCCCCGGGCTACTCTTCTCCAGGGAGCTAACCTTGCCTTAATAGCAGCGTTTGCTCAAGTGGTCCTGGCAGCCTTGCATCTATATGGACTACTGGGTCCCCACTACATCCTGCAGCTTCCCCCATCCCACCCATGGCACTGGCTAGCCTTCAAGAGTACTTGCTGCTTGCTGGAGCTCCTCACCTGGGTACTCTTGGCTTTCATCTCCCTGTTGACAGTAGGAAGCAGTCCTGCGAAGCGGGAGACATGCGAGGAAGGTAGACTGTGGTCGTTGTTTTGGTGTGGGAGATGCATGGGACAAGAAGCCCCTCAGAATGAGGTGTGTGCCAACGTGTTTCAGAGGAGCCAGGCTGTAAGGAGCCACACTCTACACACCTGCCCCAACACCGGTCCTCAGGAGGTACTGACTCAGTCGTACCCATCACGGCAGGCCTCTCACTCCCTCCGTAACCCACCACTGTTCCGTTCCGGGGCCTCTGATGTCCATTTGCTGTGGAGTCACAGCCGCGCCCAGGATGCTCTTTCCTCTAGCTGTACCTCCAGACCTTCTTCTATAGTGTTCTGTGACACAGGTCTTGGGAGGTACAGAAGACCTCTTGATACCCAAAATGCAGTGACAGAGACTTCCCAAAAGTCTCTCCAGAATCTGGAGACCCAAATTGTAGCCCAGAAGTCAAGTGTTGCACAAAAATCATCCAAGAAAGACGAGCCAACAGCATACGACCAACACTTGTACTACACCTTCTCCAAAAACCAAGTGAATTCTCCTGTTAAGGTCATAGCTTCTCCCAAGTCTGAAAGTCCTTCCCGTGAAGGTCGCTTTGAACGTCGTCTACAAAGTCACCTCAGTGGTGACCTGGACAGTGCAGCAAGTGACGACGGACAATCGAGAAGTGAAGTGGCCAGTGTGACGGACTACAGTTCAACGGACGCCCTGTCCTCAGCTGTAGTGGGTGATGCTGACTGGTCCAAGTACACCAGCACTTGCTCCTCTATCAGTGCTGCAAACAGCTTCGACGTTCGTATGTGTGATGACTCTGATGTTCCTTACTATCAGATCCCTTATTCAACTGCTCCCCATGTGTGTCCTCCGTGGCATCAGCAGTCACCTCCTGCCCACCTTCCCCAGCAGTCACCCCCTCCCCACCTGCCTCAGCAGCCACCCCCTGCCCACTTGCCTCAGCAGTCACCCCCTACCCATCGGCCCCAGTTGCCACCCCCTGTTCACCTACCCCAACAGTCACCCTCTGCTCGCTTACCTCAGCAGTCACCCCCTGCTCACCTGCCCCAGCAGTCACCCCTTACCCATCTACCCAAGCAGTCTTCTAATCTGCCTAAGCAGTCGCCTAGTCACCTTCCTCATCAGTCACCTCCTACTCACCTACCTCAGCACGACGGCCTGCAGACAGACGGTGTGCAGAGTTTTGGTTCTCGGCAGACTGAGCAATGTAGATCTCTCCGTACACCCAACACGTCTTCCCTCGCCTCTGTGCACACAGCAAAAGAACCACACGACGTGCACGTTAGCGGTTCATACCCCGAACAGGCCTCTCCCAGCGCCTCTCACCCTCAATGTTGTCAGGGAGATGTGAAATGGAACCTGACAGGAGCACAGAGGTCTCCCCTGCTGGGACACAGAGGTCTCGGCCTCAGAAGTGCCCAAACGGACGCTGTAGTGTCCTTACAAATCGCCAGAAACACGGACGAAGCAACGATCCTCGGCAGGATACCTCTTGTTAGTCGCTCTCCTCAGCTCAGCTCAAGACATGTTTTAAGAATAGTTAGAAGTGACTCAACACAGAACAGTATCAGCTATGCTACTCAAAGAACTGAAGCTACCCAAGGGACTGAAACTACCCAAGGGACTGAAACTACCCAAGGGACTGAAACTACCCAAGGGACTGAAGCTACTCAAGAGACTCGATGTGTGTGCGAAGGTCCACAAAAGTGTCACCGGGGTCAGCAGACACAGAATCGTCGACGCAGCGGCCGGGGCGAGAGAGTTCGTCTGTGCGGTCACCGTCCGCGGCCCAGGCAGGAGGCTGCAGGAGTGGACTCCACAATAGCCGTCCAAACTCCAGCCATATCCCCCCTGGAGGAGGTGATAGCATCATCGACTACTGACGGTGTCACACAGACTGACACCAGCACCGTGGTGTCAGCATCACCCCCCTCCTCTCGCCCAGGCTCCTCCTTAGGCTCTGACCTCCCGTCTGACGGAGACTCCGAAGTCTCTTTGGGTACCTATGAGGTCAAACTCGAGGTAGCTGGGCCTCCGGAGGTGCCCCCAAGGAGGCATGAGCTACCGAGACCCATCACCAGGCAGGGTCATGACCCCTGACACATGTAGTGAGACTGACGAACTGAACACTGTGACCAGTGTGACCCAAGAACACAGCTCACGGGTCTTGTGATAATATTACCTGTGTCACAAGTCTGTGTGATGGTGTCACAAGTCTGTGTGATGGTGTCACAAGTCTGTGTGATGGTGTCACAAGTCTGTGTGATGGTGTCACAAGTCTGTGTGATGGTGTCACAAGTCTGTGTGATGGTGTCACAAGTCTGTGTGATGGTGTCACAAGTCTGTGTGATGGTGTCACAAGTCTGTGTGATGGTGTCACAAGTCTGTGTGACGGCGTGTTACTGTTGTGTAACATGAACACCAGTAATCAAAAACAGCGCTGCAGTAAGGTGTCTAGCGGTACAATACAGAGACAAAAAAATCAAAATACCCATCAATCAAAACTGATTTTGATCTTCGCTCAGTCATACTTAAATGAAAAGAAAAAACCTTCAAAAGATCTAAGGAATATGATAATGATACATGGAAATGTGTGTACACTTGTGTGTACACTTGTGTGTACACTTGTGTGTACACTTGTGTGTACACTTGTGTGTACACTTGTGTGTACACTTGTGTGTACACTTGGTGACCACATAGAACAGAGAGGATCTGTTATACAGGTACAGAGAGTCTGTTATACAGGTACAGAGAGTCTATTATACAGGTACAGAGAGTCTGTTATACAGGTACAGAGAGTCTGTTATACAAGTACAGAGTCTGTTATACAAGTACAGAGAGTCTGTTATACAGGTACAGAGAGTCTGTTATACAGGTACAGAGAGTCTGTTATACAGGTACAGAGAGTCAGTTATACAGGTACAGAGAGTCTGTTATACAGGTACAGAGAGTCTGTTATACAAGTACAGAGAGTCTGTTATACAAGTACAGTCTGTCATACAATATCCTCACAATTCACCTCACAATTTACCTCACAATTCACCTCACAATTCACCTCACAATTCACCTCACTCATCTAACACAATTCCTTCCGAGTCCCTCAATCATTTACTTTCTATTTAAAACATGGTAGAAATCCAACACTTCAAGAACTAAACACTGACTCAGCGATTCATTAACATTCTCTAACATAATTTTCGTTTACCATTTTCTGACGAGTTTAATTCTCTCTTATTTAATGTTTATGTTTATAGTAATTATCTCATTGATGAAAGACTTGTAAACAAGACTTATTTCCTTCCTCTGTTCAGACTTAATGTTCAGACTTAATGTTCAGACTTCACTAATGTTTATCTAATTCCAAGTCGTCAAGGTTCGTACATTATTGTGACTCTTCCCAGTTAAAAACCATCTAATTCATTTAGGAATTTTGGACACCATCTCCCTAATTGGTTGAATTTCTCTAATTTATACATTGTATGTCGTGTTGTGTCTTGTTGTATCATGTTGCAGGAGTGACATCTGTCTTCAGACGTCATTAGTCACTCAACTGATCACTCAACCTCAATATAAATTCTAAAACTTTTGTAAGTATATATATTATATATAATATTATATATATATATATATATATATATATATATATATATATATATATATATATATATATATATATATATATATATATATATATATATATATATGTATATAAGGATGCCTGCCAAATGTGTTTATTATTCTGATCCTCATATGAAAAATTCAATATAATTTTCTTGTGTAGGAAAATTTATACGAATCGATTTTGCAGTTTAAAGAGAAAGAATATTAAGATATTTTTTAAGTTATGACAGAGACGACAAAGAGAAAAGTCACAGCTGAACTGAATCATATGTAGAGCGTCACAACTTTGTAGAGCTCTCTTACCTGCTTGATAATACTCGTGAAGGCTATATATTGTTATCTTATTCTCTCTGTTATCATCTTTCATTATTATTCTTTACTGTCTTCTTCTTCTTTTTCTTATTCTTCTTCTTCTTATTCTTCTTCTTATTCTTATTCTTCTTCTTCTTATTCTTCTTATTCTTCTTCTTATTCTTCTTCTTCTTCAACGTTCATAATGATTCAACATAAAATCATACAAATATTCTCCACAATTAAACGTTAATTACGTTAACATTTAGTATAAGTAAGTAGGAATTACAGTAAGAGTTGCTACAGTATAAACGATGCTGTGTTGTGCAGTGTCACGGGAGCCTTCACACCTGTCAACACTGTACGTGCTGTAACCAACCTGTCATGTACTGTAATTATGTAATAAATCTTGCAACCACATATGTAATGGGATACAGCAATTGAGAAACACACACAAAAACATACACACACACACACACACACACACACACACACACACACACACACACACACACACACACACACACACACACACACACACACACACACACACACACAGGACACACTGACGACACTGGAGGACAGAAGGGTCAGGGGAGACATGATAACGACATACAAGATACTGCGGGGAATAGACAAGGTGGACAGAGATAGGATGTTCCAGAGAGGGGACACAGGAACAAGGGGTCACAACTGGAAGCTGAAGACTCAGACGAGTCACAGGGACGTTAGGAAGTATTTTTTCAGTCATAGAGTCGTCAGGAAGTGGAATAGCCTAGCAAGTGAAGTAGTGGAGACAGGAACTATACATAGTTTTAAGAAGAGGTATGATAAAGCTCAGGAAGCAGAGAGAGAGAGGACCTAGTAGCGATCAGTGAAGAGGCGGGGCCAAGAGCTGAGTCTCGACCCCTGCAACCACAATTAGGTGAGTACACACACACAAGAGAGATTCATGCATAAGCTGGAGGACCAAGCAGGGATAACAGGGAAGGCACTACAATGGATCAGGGAATACCTGTCGGAAAGACATCAGTGAGTCATGGTATGTCACTAGGTGTCAGAGAGGGCACCTGTGACCTGTGGGGTCACACAGGGGTCGGTCCTAGGACCGGTGCAGTTTCTGGTATATGTGAACGACATGACGGAAGGAATAGACTCCGAAGTGTCCCTGCTTGCAGATGATGTGAAGCTGATGAGAAGAATTCAATCGGACGAAGACCAGGCGGAACTACAAAGGGATCTGAACACTCTGCAGGCCTGGTATAGAAACTGGCTTCTTGAGTTCACGACCCTATACACCGTGTATGTCAGACCTATATTGGAGAATGCAGCACCAGTTTGTAACCCACACCTAGCCAAGCACGTACGGAAATTAGAGAAAGTGAAAAGGTTTGCATCAAGACTAGTCCCAGAGCTAAGGAGTATGTCCTACGAGGAGAGGTTAAGGGAAATCAACCTGACGACACTGGAGGACAGAGAGATAGGGGGGGAATATGATAACGACATACAAAATACTGAGAATAATTGACAAGGTGGACAAAGACAGGATGTTCCAGAGATTGGACACAGCAACAAGGGGACACAGTTGGAAGTTGAAGACACAGATGAATCACAGGGATGTTAGGAAGTATTTCTTCAGCCACAGAGTAGTCAGGAAGTGGAATAGTTTGGGAAGCGATGTAGTGGAGGCAGGATCCATACATAGCTTTAAGCAGAGGTATGATAAAGCTCACGGTTCAGGGAAAGTGACCTAGTAGCGAGCAATGAAGAGGCGGGGTCAGGAGCTATGACTCGACCCCAGCAATCACAAAAAGGTGAGTACTAGGTGAGTATACACACACAAACAAACAAACACCATCAAACACACACGCAAGGATACGCACTCCAAACTTAAATATCATATTAAAATAATTAGCTTTCTAACTCTCTCTCTCTCTCTCTCTCTCTCTCTCTCTCTCTCTCTCTCTCTCTCTCTCTCTCTCTCTCTCTCTCGTTCACTTGAACAATGGGCCAAATTACATTACTTCACAATTACTGGTTGGTTGGTTAATTGAGTTTCACTCCTATCGACTACACTAGGGTCATGGTTTAAAAAAACATGCAGTGTTGCAACACATCTAATGCAGTGTTGCAACACATCTAATGCAGTGTTGCAACACATCTAATGCAGTGTTGCAACACATCTAATGCAGTGTTGCAACACATTTCTAATGCAGTGTTGCAACACATCTAATGCAGTGTTGCAACACATCTAATGCAGTGTTACAACACATCTAATTATCTATAATCCTGATTTAATGTTTTGTGTCTCTTACGAGTTTGAGAAACCATGTATCCCCTTGTAATATTCTCTCTCTCTCTCTCTCTCTCTCTCTCTCTCTCTCTCTCTCTCTCTCTCTCTCTCTCTCTCTCTCTCTCTCTAATAATTACTTTATAATATAGACATAAGGGTCAGTTTTCACTGTTATGAGGTACACTGATCGATCGTATTGCAGGAAGATGGTGACCATATGTTCCGCTGTACTGTGTATGTGACGGTGTGACTGTCACACCATGGTATGTGACGGTGTGACTGTCACACCATGGTATGTGACGGTGTGACTGTCACACCATGGTATGTGACGGTGTGACTGTCACACCGGGTTTATGTGACGGTGTGACTGTCACACATGGTATGTGATGGTGTGACTGTCACACTATGGTATGTGATGGTGTGACTGTCACACCATGGTTTATTGATGGTGGGGACTGTCACACCATGGTATGTGATGGTGTGACTGTCAAACCATGGTATGTGATGGTGTGACTGTCACACCATGGTATGTGATGCTTTGCCTGTCACACCATGGTATGTGATGGTGTGACTGTCACACCATGGTATGTGATGATGTGACTGTCACACCATGGTATGTGAAGATGTGACTGTCACGCCATGGTATGTGATGGTGTGACTGTCACACCATGGTATGTGATGGTGTGACTGTCACACCATGGTATGTGATGGTGTGACTGTCACACCATGGTATGTGATGGTGTGACTGTCACACCATGGTATGTGATGGTGTGACAGTCACACCATGGTATGTGATGATGTGACTGTCACACCATGGTATGTGATGATGTGACTGTCACACCATGGTATGTGAAGATGTGACTGTCACGCCATGGTATGTGATGGTGTGACTGTCACACCATGATATGTGATGGTGTGACTGTCACACCATGGTATGTGATGGTGTGACTGTCACACCATGGTATGTGATGATGTGACTGTCACACCATGGTATGTGATGATGTGACTGTCACACCATGGTATGTGATGCTTTGCCTGTCACACCATGGTATGTGATGATGTGACTGTCACCCATGGTTTTGTGAGGGTTTGTGACTGTCACCCATGGTATGTGATGCTTTGCCTGTACACCATGGTATGTGATGTTTGTGACTTTTCACACCATGGTATGTGATGATGTGACTGTCACACCATGGTATGTGATGGTGTGACTGTCACACCATGGTATGTGATGATGTGACTGTCACACCATGGTATGTGATGGTGTGACTGTCACACCATGGTATGTGACAGTGTGAGTCAGCCAAACCATGGTAGCGGTATAACATAGCCACCATACCATACCATGATGTCCTGAATCAATAAGAATATTATTACATACAACTTCCAAAGGAAAATGATCACTACAGTCTTATGATTTAGTGAGAGAGAGAGAGAGAGAGAGAGAGAGAGAGAGAGAGAGAGAGAGAGAGAGAGAGAGAGAGAGAGAGAGAGAGAGAGAGAGAGAGAGAGACAGACAGACAGACAGACAGACAGACAGGCAGACAGACAGACAGACAGACAGATGTCTTCACGTCTCATGAAATCAGACACTCACAAAATACAACTATGTCTTAATATGAGCCCCTCAGTGTCCTCAGTACTGGGGATTCCAACTGAGTTCTCTCAGTGTCCTCAGTACTGGGGATTCCAACTGAGTTCTCTCAGTGTCCTCAGTCCTGGGATTCCAACTGGGTTCTCTCAGTATCCTCAGTACTGGCATTCCAACTGGGTTCTCTCAGTGTCCTCAGTCCTGGGATTCCAACTGGGTTCTCTCAGTGTCCTCAGTACTGGGGATTCCAACTGAGTTCTCTCAGTGTCCTCAGTACTGGGGATTCCAACTGAGTTCTATCAGTGTTCTCAGTCCTGGGATTCCAACTGGGTTCTCTCAGTGTCCTCAGTACTGGGATTCCAACTGGGTTCTCTCAGTGTCCTCAGTACTGGGGATTCCAACTGAGTTCTATCAGTGTCCTCAGTCCTGGGATTCCAACTGGGTTCTCTCAGTGTCCTCAGTACTGGGATTCCAACTGGGTTCTCTCAGTGTTATCAGTACTGGGATTCCAACTGGGTTCTCTCAGTGGCCTCAGTAATGGGATTCCAACTGGGTTCTATCAGTGTCCTCAGTCCTGAGATTCCAACTGGGTTTTCTCAGTGTCCTCAGTCCTGGGATTCCAACTGGGTTCTCTCAGTGTCCTCAGTACTGGGATTCCAACTGGGTTCTCTCAGTGGCCTCAGTACTGGGGACTCCAACTGGGTTCTCTCAGTGTCCTCAGTACTGGGATTCCAACTGGGTTCTCTCAGTGTCCTCAGTAATGGGATTCCAACTGGGTTCTCTCAGTG